AAAAAAAAAACAAACAAACAAAGAACTTAAGTAGAGCTATTTTAAACGATGACCCTGTTAGTGTCGAGAGGAAAAAACGAGATTTTCTAGGAAGATAGGAGGAGGGCAGCCATCAGACCACTTGTACTAAGATTTGCGAATGGAAATAATTTGTATCGCTGTGCAACTGGTAATTAACTTAGCGGGAGATATCATTATAGTGATTAGTTAGCTCGATACATCTTCGCAGTCAGGGGAAGGCGATCATTCAATTCGACAAAGTAAGCTTAGTTAAACCAAGTTTCGTTATAGTTGTTATGTCTCGGCCGTAAATTTATCAACCGTCCCGTTTCAGAGTCCACATGGTCTAACAGGGTTATTTAAAGAACATTTAAGCGCCAGTTGCCATAACGCTACTCGTAGGAATGAACCAGCGCTCAACGCAACACATCCTCATAAATTTGTAAGTCGTCGCGTTTCAGACGTGTGTCCACCAGAGCCTACAAGGTTTTACAGAGTTATTTAAAGAACATTTAAGCGGTAGTAGTAACGGTGCTAATCGCAAGAATGAATCATCGCAATGCGTCCGCGTAGTTTTCGTGTTTCAGACGCGTGTCCATTAGAGCCTACAAGGGCTTACAGGGTTATTGAAAGAACTATAATTTGCCTTATTTTAGGCGCTAAAGGCAAGAATAAACCAACGAAACGCGTCCTCGCTTCGATCAAAGTTTAAGAGGAATTCACCTGCTGAAGCCGACCGCAGTAGTTTGAGTGGAATTTATACGGACCTGTAACAGTGTTTTTTTGTACGGTAAAAAAGTCTCAGACAGTAAACGCTTGATAAAGCTTGACAAATCAAACCGGAAAAGTGCAATAAAAAGCGGAGAAGATTGATAAGGTCCGCAAACAAGCACCATTTAAGTATTTTGGCTCGTTTCCTATTTTTAAAGAGGTGACGGTAAAGTGGCGAGATAAAGTTTGAGAGCAGACCTCGATAATTCTCGAAGCGAAGCAGAGAACTGACGTAGAAGATAATGAATACCAAAGATTACGAGAGAAAAATGCATAAATGGAAATGTGATCGCAAGTAAGTTATTTTAATTTATCACATTTGGCTTGTGGATAATAAGTTACAAGGAAACTGTTATGAAAGCAAAATGCATAAAGCAAAGCTTACGAAAAGAATTGAGACATCAGCGGAAGTAGCTCCAACCCATGTTTCCTAGATATGAGTTAGGCGCCAAAACCATCTCAGCTTAAAAGGCAAGGCAATTCCAGTGAGTTCTGTTTACCACGCATATGATAATCATGAAAAAAAAAACATGCAAAAATGATATTTTTCTCTGTGCGAAGGGCCGTGTTTTTACACCGTTTCGGCCTGTCAAAACTCGCAAGCTTTAAACGCAAGTTTTTTTTTTTTCTGGCATGTTTTCCAGACCGCCACTCGCAATGTGCCAGGTTGTTTTCCCGAGCAGACGCCGGAAAATCCTTCTCAAAATCATTTTTCATACTTCTGTTGTTGTTACAGAGGGTTTTTTTTGTTCTCTGTTGTTTTTCAAAGTCTTTTGTTACTTTAAGTTACTTCCCTATAAGGATAGCGTAAACGTCATGATACATTTTCTCATCGTACAGTAATAATTTCATCTTCCGTTTTTCTAATGCGCTGAATTCTGTTACTGATCCTTGAAAGTGAAAGGTGGAACTAGAATTATGTTTTTTTAACCACCTTCTGCACACCGCAGAAACGTTTTTCTACGGAACTTTTTCCTTATTTGGCAAAAGCGTAGTTCGTGTGGGAAACAGCGTGTGATCGATGATGAGAAGAGTTGCTATCACCAGAATGTGACTCAACAGTGTCAAGTTAATTCAGGCGTGGGCAGTAGTTTTTTCTGCACTATATCTTCGTGTTGCACTCGTCATGTTCTCACGGCTTATAGCGTTGCTAACAACGGAACATGTCTCCATTGTGTCTTATTATAAAAGGCGTGGGTACTAAGGTTTCTGTTTGTCACGTGGAATTTAAGGTGAAAACATTTTCTCAGTCTGTTACGTTACGTCATTACGGCTTTGAACCAACTTGATCGAAATAATAACAGAGATTCAGTGGTTTCCTGAAGATGAACCAAAGAAATTAGGCATGGTTTTCCCATGGTAACGACTGATGAAATTGGAACGCTTGTTTTAAAAAAATCTGATATTTCAACTCGACCTAGTTTTAGTTCTTTCATTTTTAGATGTATCAATGTCGCATTTCGTTGAAATAGAAATTCATCGAAACCATTGAGGAGGAAGTTTTAGGCAAACTCCAACTACAAGTATTTTCCTTCTCCGCCATATCCTATACGTTTGGTAATTGAAAGCTATGGTTATTAAAAGCGAAAGCAGGAAAAAATGTAAACTAAACTTTAGCCGAAAGAGCGTTCTTTCCTCAACGTAAGAAATCAGGTTAAAAATGAACGCGATTATTCTGACGAGTTAATTTGCTGTGGGAAGTAGACTAAATAAACGGGATGTCTCAGTGATAGCTAAGGAAGTTGGCGTTCCACTCACCGGAGTCGTCAAGGCACAGCGAATGATGGATAGTTTTGGGAATGTCAAGAACAGTGTAGATGTGGCATATTTGGTAAATCACTACACAAAACTCGTATCTCATAGCAATTTGTCTATTCCTAGAGAATTTTTTACAAGGTCAGTTACTGTAAGGGAAAGTTTCTGCTCTCAATGCCGACAAAGTCCCTCACTTTCTCTTTAGAGACTTCCCGTCTTTCTTTTCTTCCTGTTTTAATTACCCTCAGTGCAAAATAGGAACAGTCACGGGAATTTCATTTTTTGACGGTTTTGTTCCCGTATAGTATCGCTAGCGGGTCATGTTAGGGAATGAATTCACCGGAATGCGAGCGCCGTTTCGATGGATGTCGAGGAAGATGTTCTGTTAAAGACTCATCTACGTAAATCCAGGTATATAGAAAATGTAGCTTTATTGTCAACATGCAATACTGTGAGAATTATCGAACAAGTAACGGCGAGGAAGAAAGTGTACGGGCGATTTACGAAGTTCATTTCCATTCTACAAAATTACTAACAACAATTTCTGCCTCTAGTAATTGTGCTTACATATCGATTTTTTGTCAACCTTCCATTCGTGAGTCGGTAGTTCAAGTTGCCTTAATTTTTTCAACGGATGTCGCGGAAGATGTTCTGTTGAAGACTCATCTACGCAAATCCAGGTATACAGAAAATGTTGCTTTATTGTCAACATGCGATACTGTGAGAATCATCGAAAATTCGAAGAAAGTGTACGAACGATTTACGAAATTCATTTTCTATTCCACAAAATTACTAACAGCAATTTCTGCCTCAGGTTACTGTGCTTACATATCGGTTTGTTTCAACCTTCCAATCGTGGGTCGGTAGTTCAAGTTGCCTTAACTTTGCAACGGCAAGATTCTTTATAGCACCGGCGTTTTTGTATTTTAGAATCACTTTATAGCCGGCATTGTATAAGTAAACGGGCTTTTGAAAGTGGCTTTAATTGCTTGTGGTAAAAGCGTAGCTTAATTGTGTGCATAAAGGTCAATAGATCGAGATTTTGTAGCCTAAGAAAATTTCTCACGGTAACGTGTAATTTGGGTAAGATACGTTACCACCTCACGAACTCTTTAATCTACAAGTCTAATTGGCATTGGTAAATTGTGTGTCATGGCAACCGGTTAAGGGGAAAATACCAGGATGGACTAACACCCCACCAAGACGGAACAACACAGAGTGAGAATTCGGGGCATGTCTCTTAAAACTTTAACCCCAGTTTGGTTCTCTTCTTGAACTGAACCAGTACAGTAGTAAAGTACAGTAGTTTTTATTGGTCCTCCTCCTGGGAGGGTATTTTGAGTTAATTAACAACTCTTTGCGAGGGACTTCGGCCAGACAGCGTTAACCAGTTTACAATATTTTGAAGGGAATTTTTGTAAATGCCCCCAATTTCGGAATCAAATTTCCTAAAGAGGAATGATAGCTAGGGCATTTTTCCTCTGCCGTAGAACGTACCCATTTCTACACTTCGTTTCTTAAAAAGTGAAGAAACCTCATAAGACCTACACGATCTAAATTTATTTCAATTTTAGACAGAACGATAAAAAAACATATTCTTTGGAGCAGCAATATCTACATAGTCAACAACAAGGTGTACACCCTTTACTTTGAAGTAAAATTACCCCTAATTTGTTTCACGCTAAGATTATCGGTGTATGCCACTTAATTGAGTGTTAGGGAAGGCTTGAAGTCATCGTATTTTTCTCCGGAATGCATCTGATCGAGAAGAAGAAAGACGAAAAAAGGTTACGAGTCTACACGATGTTGGGTTCAAAAGAAAAAATGTCGTGCAAATTAATGCTGTAGTTTTTTACTTTATACTTTGCAGTTGATACTCCTACATTTGTGGTAGGTGTGCGTGAGTGTCTCCCCCGTGTTAATCTACTCTTGTTAACGATCAAGTTAAGATTTGTAGCCTGCGAAACGTTACTTCCGATGCACCGGTGTTCATATATAGGTGACATATTTTAGTTATTAAGCATATTCTTGGTGAACAAGTTTAAAGCTGGTTTTAGTTATACGGAGATTGCTACTCGACGTTACATGATAGTGCAGCGGTGAGAGGCTTACATTTTGAAATTTTCACTCAACAAAATTTTTATTTTCGTAAAAAGACGTTGCAAAATCGAGATGGCCAGGTCGGTTTCTATTGAGCTAAAACCAGCCAAATTAACTCAAATTAACCAGCCCTTAAGCTCGCCACATAAATCCACCTGCTCAGATCAAAATAGCATGCCCCGTTTTAGCTTTGCGCATACAAAGTTGTTATTCTCCCGATTATCCTATCGGCGGAACAGTTACACATCTGAAGTGAAAGAAACAAGTCTATCTTTTAGAGCGCACTCTGTAGTCCCTCGACGTTTTGTCAAGGACGAGGCTTAACTGATAAGCGTCAGTCGTGGCCACGGAACCGGAATAAACGCGTGCAGAAAATGGCCACTCTTCGTGAAGTGCCCGCTGGGCAAGAACGAAATGCGAGGCGTATGAGGTACAATGAAAATGCACGACACATAGTCATCAGTTAAAAGTCAAATTGCATTGCAGTACAGGCAAGCAGTTAAGGACACGAAAGTGCACAACAACACTACACGGTAATGAACAAATTCTCGTCCAAAAAGATATTTTCTTCTATAATAATTTGGTTGGGTGGTGTGTTTGTCTCATCACTATTCTGGTTACGAAATAAAATGCTTTCTTCGTGTTTTGTCTATCAGGTAAACGCAAGTTGTTGAGTTGTGTTATTTTCGACCATTTTTCGCGATATGCTTGCCGCTTTTCTCATTAGCTACATGACCTCTGAATTAAATCTTCTTGAGAAGTAGATGTGCAGTTTCAATTCGAGCTTCATCAGTCTCGTCGCTAATTTTGATGAGCGAACGCTTTTTAACTAACGTCCTTGTTTGGCCTAAGCATTGACTGTAAGAAAAAAAAATCAACTCAAAACTCATGCAGCTCTCTTCAGATCGGACTGCTTTTACGGCTGCCATTTCCTCGGGCTTTGAGCGCTGATTGAAGAAAACACAACAACTGAAGATAGTGGCTTATGTGCCAGTTTTTTAATTATATAGTTAAAGTTTTTTTTGAAGAAAAAAGACAAGAAAATAAGCGACGCGGAAAAGTGTGGTTGCGAAATAATTAATCTAAACACTAGCAATTTTATTATTTTGCAATTAGGACGGAGTTAAGCCACCTACGGCAAAAACGAACTCGTGAACAATGTCGCCAAAACACACAAAGAAAGCTTATAGTAGTTCATTACTTTGGCATTTTGCACAGAACTTGCAGTCAAAAATCGCGCAAGTAGTTGTACCCGCGCGTGAATCTAAAATGTCTCCAATATCTCTTGGGAGAGAGAGAGCTAGTGTCGGCGTTTCCCCGGTGTAAGTGGTGACCACTTAGCTGCGTGATTTATTGTACTAGACATTTGCAGTCGTTGTTGATCTCATTACTCTTATTCCTCCTTCAAGTGTGGGCCCTATAAACCACATAGAACACTCAGCAGTTCTTACGAGAGATTTGAGCCGACATTTCGTTTAAGTCGAATAGTCTAGCACCTAGGCAGTGCCCTTGAAAGATTTTAGAGTTACAGCCAGGTTTAATCCAACAAGTAGTGTGGATTGCACTAGAGACGACTCCAACTCTGTTTTAACCCCATCTTAAGGGATCTACCAGTGTCTAGCTAAGAGCAAAATCAAGGTTTAGTGCGCATGTCACAGAAGCGGACTTTCTATCGAAACCGAGGATATTTTCTTGTTGCGGAAACGATATTGCAGCAATAATTCCTGAAAGTATTGACGTACATCGTATTTGAATGACCTAAGGAGTTCCTGTGGCTACGCTTACACAAGTTCTTTTCGACAAAACGTGTCAAGGTAATTTATATCACGCATTGCCCGTGCATTCACCGAACTTTACATAATGTCGCCAGACCTGGGTTTCATATGCTGTGTCGAAGTATTTCGCGGGCTGTGATATATGAAGACCACTGGGTGAATCTTGGCCAAAACCAGGCTAGAAACACAAAGAGTCGTTTCCTTGTTTAGATTCCAGTATTTGGTGAAACACTTTACTGGTGTAACAACTTTACTTGCTAGACCTAGGTTGATAAATTACTGGTAACCGAACGCCCAATGCAAATTTTTAAGTCCCTTAAAAACAGAACACATCTTCTTTGCCATCCAAAAGGTCGTTAAGCTTTCAAACTTTGGAGAAAAAATTGAAAAAGATTGTAATGCTTCTGAAATCGGGTCTTATGTGTTCGTAAGGGGGTTTCAGCTAACGAAATTTAGCGGTCAACTGTTCCCATCCGTTCGTTTCGTTTTGTGTTTTTGCTTAGTTTATTTCAATGCTTCGTCCTTAGGTTGGCCGATATGCACTTTTCTACCAAACTGTTTGTATCTCTTGTCCTACCGGCTGCCATCACTATCATCGTAAGTTTTTTATGGCTGAAAAAGAAGAACAAGGAGGCGGAAGAACTTGAGCAGCTTGAAGAAAAACCAGATGTAAACAGTGAGGGAAGGGAGAAAATCATCCCAGGCAAACACAAAGGTGCCTCGAGCGAGAACAGCGAAGTTAGTGAGTTCAATGTAGATACGGAAGCTTCAGACTTGCACCATTTCCGGCTGGAAAAACAGCCAAGCACAACAGAAAGCACACAACAAGATTACGGGGTAGAAACGAAGCCGTCGACGAGTTCGGAACTCAAAGAATCGTCGGGCGGAGAAGAATCAGCTAGCGAGGGAAGTGTTGATAGTGGCACTCTTTTGAGTTTCACTGAAGGTTTCAATAATGGCACTCCACCTCTCGGCGAAGAGAATGCAAGATCCCGAAAAAGCTCAGACAACAGCAACAAAGACGTGTGGGAGATTGAATTCCCCCAGATTTTGTGCGGAAGATTGATAGGACGGAAAGGCAAAAACGTTCGAGTGATCTCCGAGAAATCTGGAGCGAAAATTCGATTGATTCCTCAGTCGCCAGGCGAAGTTTCAACGCATCGAATCATCTCAGTTACAGGAAACGCCACACAGATTCAAAGTGCGCTAGATTCTATTCACGAAAAGTTTCCCTGTGTACCCCTGACAAGGCTCAACTCTGCTGTAAACGGTACAGCAAACGCTGTACACGTTCAGCCCATGGTGACCGCTGCCATGCCCGTACAGGCCTTACCTTTCGTTCAAGCTATGCTTCCGAGCGTTGCTAACTTCGATGTGGTGGTGACGAGCGTGGCGGATGCTGGTCACTTTTTCGTGCAGTTGCATAACGACTTCATGCAAAGGCAGCTTCAAGACCTTCACCAGAACATGTTGCAATGCTACGGACAAGGGACAGCGCCATTGATTCTTCCTCTTCCACAACCAATTGTGGTGGGCTCGTGCTGTGCGGCGCCGGCATACACCTATAATGGCTGGTACAGGGCGCAAGTTCTTGGGCCAACTGGTAATCCTGACGAAGTAGAGGTTAAATATTTGGATTATGGAGGATATGGAAGGATTGCTGCGTCGAGTCTCCGACAATTAAGGTGAGCAAGCGATTGTGTTACAAAGATGCATATGTGACCTCTGCCAGTCACTTTTTAATGCTTAGTCATTTGTTTTGGTTCAAACTTTCGCTAAACCGAAACCTTAGTATTTTACAGAAATTAGTTTTACATTTCTCTTCGGAAAACGCGAAGAAAACTACTCTCCACTTAATAATTATACAGTTGAGACACGAGTATTTCGCGTAAAGGGCTTACTTAACATCCCATGTCTTGTCAATTCAGTCCGATAAAATTAAGCCGAATAAAACTCAGACATCGATATTGAAAACTTTCTTTACAAAGCTTAGCTAACCCTTTTTAGGCACCGTGTATTTGATCGTGTAGGCCTGGAAAGAAAAAGTAAATATGGCTCTTCTGCCACGTTCACATAAACGGCTCCTACTCATTTCCATGCTGTTTGAACATCGACTTCATTAAGACTAGCGATTCTATTTTCTGAGTTTTTTTCCCTGTTTTTGGCATACTTGAAGGCTGTAAATACTTCCGTGTCCATAGAAAGTTTAAATTTAATTTTTTTCTTTGGCGGCGTTTCTCGAAAAGAAAGATACTTAGATCAAAATTTCCCACGCCTTCCACAATTTGGTCCTGAATAAGTAATCTTATGTGCGCGCGTTCTTAAAACACACACCCCCTTGCTCTATGGTCACGAGTTTAAAGGAGATATATTTTTATTTAACTCAGAGTTCATCAGTCTCAAGGTTACGATATGCTGGCTTTCATTTATGGTGATTAATTTTAAAAAATTCCGTGTTTGCCGGAACAACATCTCGAAGTTGTGCTTCTTCCATAACGATTCGCTTCCTTTCAAATCGTTTCTCTGTTAGCTGTTTCGTTGTAATTAAACAGGAACGCATTTCAACAGGAAATATAGCCTTAGATATGGTTTCGTTTACGTTTTTTCTCTGGTCTTTGATCCACTTGTGATGTATGACAGGTGGTTTAGATACCTCTGGTTGATGACTCCCACTTCATACTATTTAAAACAACAGGTCTTCTTCGATGACATCGTTTGGCAAAGCCGGCGGATAATTACGATTTTTTTTGAAGAATTAACTGTGCGTGCTCTGTACACTTTAATTTTTTTTTGGTAATCGCCTACGTGTAAACTGCACGTGTGTACGTGTAGACCCTATATTTAATTTAAACATGAGGATATTTGCGAAAGACAATTCAGTGCTTCCACGACCAATGAAATTGAAATTTCGTGTATGATCAGCAGGTAAATTCTTCGTAGGATGTTGACATATTGTCTGGCAAATTGCTAATGAGAATGAAGATAATTATCAGCCAGGGGAAACTGATTAACATCAAATTCTCAGCAATAGCCTGCTTGGATACTTATAAAATTATATTGGGAGAATAATGTTTCCGATCGTGGACGTTGAAGGCTATGCAACATTAAGTAGGGAGTGTAAAAGAAATGTTTCCTTAACTAATCTGCAAAGTTTGTACGGGTTTGAATGGCTGTCAAAATCAATGAATGCTAGACAGATGTGGTCACATAAAGTGTAGAATAATATACTTTTCATAGTCTTAAACCTTTGGTTCACCAGTAAGAAGAGAGAAAATAGCATAAGCGCTAAAAATTTTTCTCTTATGAAGACCTAGTGCTGAAAACGTTTGTTTTTTACTTTTTTAAATTAAATTTTCGCCTTGCAATGAAATAGCTCATTTTAAAACCTAGGAGAATTTCATGGATGAAACTCAAGACTTTCCAATAATTCTAATTCCTGTTTTATTTCTTGTGCCATAAATTTAATTATCAAGTTAAAAAAGAAAGACGAAAAGTGGCGTGCAAGCCCATGAGAAGCCGCAGGACTTTTACATGATGGGCTTCCTCTACTAAATATTATAATCACAGTTTAAATGTAGAAAAGAAGCGAATCACTGGCGAGGAGAAAAATTGAGCGGAGCTAAAACGTAATTTGTAAGTCTTTTTTATAGGTATAAAGCATAATTACTCTGAAAACAAAATTAAACAATAAAAATCGAAAAGAGCGAGAAAAAAATAATAAAATACATATTGATATATAATTGTACAGAATATGCTAAGTTTGTGATGGGAGGGATGCTTCCAGTATCAACGTGAAAAAGTCAATACTAGAAACATTTTGAATTTCAAATCACTTAGCTGCAGCATAAATCATAGTCAAGAAAGTGTCATGGCGTCATAGTAGAGAACAACTCGGAAGTCAGAGAGGGAACGAAACTTTTCGTGTTTGAGAGCCTTACATCTTGACGTAGGTTTGCTAAAACACGTACTTGCTATTAATTAAAATTCGAGAATTGAAGGTAAGGTGGGGGCGGGTTTATTTGTTTTGTTTTTTGTTTTGCTTTTTCCTTCCCGAAACTGCCGCCTTTTTTCCGCTTTAATTTGCAGTATTATATTTTGGGCTAAAAAAAGGCTTCACACCGGAATTTAGATTCGTAGGTAATTTTTTTTGAGATAGTTGACCAGTGCGAGATAAAACTGTCAATTTTTTCATTTGATAGTAGCTGACGCGGAAGAATTGTCGCCACGGCATGAGCTCAAGTTCAATCTCAACGCATACAACAAGCATTGTTTAAGAAGGATGTGTATATTTGTCTAATTACTTAGGACTAAAAATAAAGGGACGTTTCTCTATTGAAGATCCTTCACACTTCCACTTCAATTTCTGACGTATGCATGACGTCACGGGTTTAAACCATTGATTAGGATGCTGAGTGAGGGGGGGGGGAAGGGAAGAGATGTTCTATTGACAATCCCGCCTTTCTAGGGTCCAGTTTTTTTCATGGGTGATATGGTAAACCTTTCTTAATGCGTTTTCTTTAATCTGTCATCTAGTATCTATTGACTCGTTTGTTCTGTCTGTCAGCCTTCAACCTAGGTTTAACATTGAAAATCAGTATCCTTTGAAAGTTTTACTTTTATTTTATTTACTTTTTATAAAATTAATATTTTATTGGTAGGTGTGCGCACATCTCTCATGATAGTATCATCATGGTTGATGGATTACTTACATTAATATATTTAAACTCTTTAAGAGGGTGTGACATTGGATATTTAAACTCTTTAAAAAGATGTATGGAATTCATTCATCAGTTTGACTTTTGGTAAAGTTTTTGTCTTTCTGCTATCTTTGTGGAAGGTTTTGATGAAATTATCTTTGGTTCCTTTTCGCCTTTCTATCTTATCATTATTATTATTACTATCATTATTATTATCTTTATTAGCTCTGTTAATAATATGATCGTTATTTTGTATCTTTCGTGTTAAACCGCGCCGAGCTACTACCCACCAACCCCACAAAAAAAATTTGGACAGCTTCTATAAATCACGTCCTATGTAGGTAAATTCTTTACAAACAGATTTGAGAATATGGGAAAATTTCCACTTGTTAATGTTGTTGTTTTAATTTTCAGGGCTGATTTTCTGACGCTGCCTTTTCAAGCTATCGAATGCTACCTTGCTAACGTGATCCCACTTCAAGGTTGGTGGTATTCATGCGTAGTCAGTTGAAGTCAGTGGAACATAATTCCAGCACTATCCCTAAAAATCCAATACCATCAGATGAAAGAAAATTATCTGCTAGGGAAAACTGAGTGATCTAACACCTAATTCCCAGACCTTCAATCTAACAATCTTTGACAAAAAGCTAGAAGAATTGCTATTAAGAACTTGGGAGTAAGAGAATGAATTTTTTTTCTCTTTTACTCTTTTCTTCCCTTACTGTACAGGTTATCATGTACTAACTAACTTATAACCATTTTCAGGAGACACGTTTTCAAGCGTGGCCGGTGCGGTTTTGGAGGATTTAACAATGAATGCTGTGTTAACTGCCCGCGTTGTTGGTCACAGAAGCGGTTTGCCATGCTTGGAACTGTACCTTGTGCAAGGACAGCAGGTACACACTTAGTGTGATCTGATGAGTTACTCTCCCTCGGAGCCAATTCTTATTTCTTTGCAATTTAGTTGGGAGAAATTGTTGTCAAATCAAGATAACTTCCTTTGGCTGACGACATAATTTATTCGGAAAACTTTTTTTACCAGACAATAAATTAAAATTTCGAGGATAAATTAGACGTTTTTCACTTGTCGAAGTCTAAAGATAACGTTTAAAACTAGAACCTGAGTGCGCCAAGAAAACCCCATGCTTCATATTGTATCTCTGGCATATGCGTTTGTTTTCATTCTTTAAATACTGGAAGTTTTTGTTTGTTGGTCTGTTTTTGTTGTTGTTATTTTCTAACGTCTCAGTTTTTTCAACACAACTGCTTTTCTACAATGACAGTCACTTTAACAATGGAGGAAGGGGTTATGGGTAAAATGCTTTAGCACAATCCACCCTTCTCCAATAGCGAGTGGTTTATTTACCATATCAATCTCAAATCAACACGACTCAAATTCTGATCAGATTGTCAGACTTATCGACATACCGACTGACCAACAAACCGACCGAGCGTCAAACAGACAGAAAGACAGACAGAAAGAAAGACAGGCAGATACATAGACAGAAAGACAGACAAACAGAAAGACAGACAGATCGACAGACAGAAAGACAAACAGATCGACAGACAGACAGACCCAAGTTACTAACGACTGACTTATGGCAAGCTGGTCAATCATTAAATGTTTCACTTGAGTAATGCATTCACTGATAAAGTTATCTGAATGAATTTTGTTTAACTTTTCAGACAATCCTGATAAACCGAGAGCTGGTAAGCCGAGGCTTAGCTCGGTGGGCGGAAACTTGAGGAACAGGGCACAATGAGCTACGCGACATTACCTTATCCATCGGTTGGAGCTGTTAACTGCGTGTTGGGCATAATCAGTAATTGTCTCCGATGAATACCGTGGGGAACCAGCAGTTTTATTTGGTTGGAATATTTGGAATTTTGATATGGTATGAATGGGAGAATATGAAATAAATGAATGGAAAATTGGGGACGTAGATAAGAACCTCATGGAAAAAATTGTGTTACGAAAGAAACTACTTCGATATCGCCTGAAAATATCTTCGGTAGATGGCGTAAATTTATTGTACAGTGTAGAGGTGTATAATATTGTTAATATGCCTTATTTACCTTCAAAATGAAGGAGTTTTTACTACTTGACAAAGTCGTTGCTTTATGAGTTCTTTCGTACCGAAAGGCTACCTGTACAAACGGTAGGTTATTTTTGGAGATTTCCAGAGATGGCCACACGCCTAAAATATGTATTTTGCCTCACAATGTCATTCGTTCTCTCGATTTTCCATTTTAAAATTGAATTATATACGATTTATTTTATGAAATTCACTTATTATTAACGCCTTGATAAAAATATCTACACGCACGATATAATCAGTAGAGTATTTTATTAGAGAAAAATGGCAGTGATATTTTAGCCAAATTAAATTATATTTACGGTATTAATACAATTACACTATAAGCTATAGTTATATTAATATATTAAAATAAATGGGTAATGTTTTATTTAGGCCAGTCCAAGTACTGCTTCTATTAACAGATGGGAAGTCTGCTCGACTTAAAAATTTTAATTACAAACGACCAAACTGCGAACAGTCAAGGTTGTGGTTCATTGAAAATGTTAAGATTTCTGTAATTACCACATGAAAATCTTTAAAGCTTTATCAAAATTTAGGAACATTTTTTTAATTGTTTGCTTTTCCATTTATTAGGACTAGAGATCTAATATTTGTGATATCTTTGAACGTCATAGCTTCGCGGCCAATTTCCGCCAATCATAATTCAGTCATGTTGCATTTTTAACAGCCCTTGTAAGTTTTATTGCTGGTTTCCAATCCAACAGTGATCTCAAAAGCTGCACTGAAAAGGCTCCTAATTCGAGAAATGAATGACCTTGAAAACCAGGTCATCTAAAGCAGAGCTGTCAGAAATAGAGACTTTCCCTTACACGACCTTTTTAAAGAGCTGCGTAATAAAGAATATCGAACGTTATTATCGAGTAAGAATTTTTTTGGAAACTTTTTGCTGTGAAGGTGAATATTACAGTAGCACAGTTAGAAGGAATTAAGTCAGTCCACCTGTAACGTGGAACCTTGAAATCAATTTAAAAGCTACTCGCATATCTACTGAGTTTTCAGTAACCGTGGAGTCATCATTTCTTTTGTTAAACAAAAGTCTGAGAAATTTTTTTTAGTTCAAATGAACACGTTTTTTTAATTACCGAGGATTTAAAAAGCAATTTAAGAGCCATTTTTTTGAAAATCAAAATGGAATAAAATTTAACAAAGCTCAGAAGCCGCACCCTTTAGGTGGGTGTACACTCTGGTAAACACAATTAAACTAAGTCACTTTTTCAATCACCAAGGATTTAAAAAGCAATTTAAGAGTCAATTTTTTTTAAAATCAAAATGGAATAACATTTTACAAAGCTTAAAAGCCGCACCCTTTAGGTGGGTGTACACTCTGGTAAACACAATTAAATTAAATCAACTTCATTACCAAAATTATCGTGTAAGATAAAAAATGTTCGAAAAACTTCAAGTAAGTGAAAAACAATGCTTTTAAATTTGTCACATAAGCGTGATACTCTTTTCATTGAAGGAGAGCTGGTGTAGTCACTAGCATTAAAGGCTCACCACTTTAGGAGGATTTAAGCAATCAAGCTTTGAGGAAATATCCTGTAAAATGAGCTTTCAACAGATTTAGTTGTATGCGATAAATAATTCTCTTTCTTTTTTCTATTTCTAGATGTTTTTCCAAAGGTTGCCTGATTATTAAGAGTTTACCTTGCAAAATTGTTAACCTTTAGAATAACTTGCGTTTGCCACGGTGATAGCTGTCACTCAAAGTTGCCCTCCGATAAGTAAAGATTTTGGAAAGATTGCTACCTTACAGCGACTGAAGACATATGCACAGAAACGGGATTCTAAAAAGAATTTGTCTCGCTCTTTTAATTTTTCAATACGATTTGTTTTTAATTTGTTTGTTTGTTTATTTATTTTTTTTTCCACTTCAGTTTGTATATCATCACACCACTTTTTCTACGGTACGATAGTCAGTGTGTCGATCACCAAATTATTGTAAATTCGTTCTCTATAATTTTCGCTTTAGCACTCTCTTGCCATCATTTGTATTTATCTACTCACAAACATAATTTTGTTGACACTCGTTACTTCTTGTGTACTCGTGCATTATTTTCTCGAGTGTTATTTTGACTCGTGTGCATCGCTGTCTTTAACTCCTGTTCAATAATTTGGACTTGTGTACTTTTTTCAACTCTCTTGTAATCACAGTGTATTCGACTCTTGAGTACCTTCATTTGCTCTTGTGCATCATTTTCCAATTGTTATTACTTTCGTCAACTCCCCGGCTTGCGCACTCTCGTTGGCTCTTGGGCACCCTCGTCGACCTGTCATGTACTCGTTTACGTTCTGGCAACACTTTTCTTTCTGTTGGTCGATTCTGATGTGCACCTTTAATGGTAGTTGTGTGCTTTCGACAACCATCATTTACTCTAGTGGATTCTAGTTCATTCTGAAGAATTGCAATGAAACTTTCAAAGACTCCTAAAATTTCCAAAATTTCGTTTTATCTAGTGTTTAATAGAGCCTTTTCAATACACTCTGTTAGCAAGATGGCGTAATAAAATAATCAAAAAGGTCATTGTAGTATAGAAGAAATTCACGAGACTCTATAAGAATGGAGGACGGTGGAATAAAAACAAAAAATGCTGCCGCTATTTATCAATGCTTAAATTAGTGAGAATCCTTTTTCAATTTTTCTGTTATTGTTTGCTATGAGACATTTATTTTTCCTTCATGTTATAAGTGCCTTAGTCGAGACAGATCTTAATTTTAAAACGTAAGTACTTTAGTGAATCGCTGAATAAATGAAAGTATTAAGAATGAAGTGTAAACAATATTTTAAAGAACTTGTTATTTAAGAATATTAATTTAAAATTAATAATTTAATTATAAATAAATGATAATTTAAAATGTAATGTGTTGTTAAACTGCAGGGAAGCTAAAATAAATAAACGGTTGGAAGTGAGAACTTGTCGGAAACCAGTCTTTACTAATCCAGTTAGCCTCCCTGGAAGCTGCTAAATGGAACAGTGTACTATATGTCTTGTGACATTTCCAAAAATGGAAAGTTTTATCTCAGTTTGGTAGGGAGGGGGAGTAGTCTTCTCTGACTACCACGAGATTGTTTACCAGAAGATGTCGCAAAATACTCTTTTAGGTGACAGAAAATCGTTTTAGAGGCGTTAGGGTAGTCCTTCATCGATTTCACTCATGCGATATACCAAACAGATTTTTGGGTAATTTTGTTTCTAAGTAAGCGATTCAAATGAAAGAAATCTTTGCCATAAATATCAAAGCTAGGGTTCCCATCATTTTTCAGATCGGTAACCTAAGTAATAAGTATACGACTAGCAGCCCCTTCCCCTCCCCCTTCCCACACACACTTTCCCCATCGAAAAGACTGAATTCTGTGTGCAATAAGAGCGGTTTGAACTATTGTGTTGTGGTTTTTTTTTTATTTTTAAAATAATCCATAGTATATCGGCGAATTTGCTCCGTCTCCTAGTGGTTATACCATGCGCGATGTTGGTGAAAATTCCGAGCCGCCTAAGAAGTGTTTCAGTGTTACCGGCCTCCTCATTTTACCTACAGTCTCTGTTGGAGCCTCGCGGGAGTCCTGAATGTTTTGAAGTTATATTTTAATTAAAAAGACGACTTAATTTTCACCTAGGACAAAGTAAATTATTACTTCATCAGTTTTCTTAGTTTTAGCGTTCACAGTCAGAGAATTTCGGGTTCTGAAAGTTGAACGATTTGTTGATTATGTAGAACCATTCATTTGGCATTTATTTTTTCATACCTTGGAACGATTTCCACATTTCCATAATAATTTAAAATGCTGGAGTACAAGCAATGAAACTTTTTCCAAAAAATTTTGCTTCGAAGCGAAGCTAAGAGTACTGTAGCTATCAAACGGGAATAGAAAAGCCAGGAGGCGGGCGAGTTGTTTTTTCATACCCGCTAACTTCCGCGCATCATTTATCAGCCAGCGGGAGTCGTCGCGCATCAGTGACGCTTTATACATGGTGTAAGCACGTGGCTAAATATTTCTAAATTTGCATTGTAAATCGTTGCGTGAGGTACGTAATGTTTTTAATTTTACTGAGTCAATATTATCTATTTTTCCCCGAGGTAATAAAAAGAAGAGGTATTTCCCTAGCTGTAAATTCGCGCTTATGGACGCAGAGACGATATACCTCGTGGTTATCAAAGGATTACACAAACCAACAAACTTAACAGTCAAATAATATTAACATAGATTCGTTGATAAACAGTGATTCGATCGAGTTTAATGACACTGCTTTAGAGAAGCCTTTTGTCTGAGCAAACACGATGATCAATCGTTGTCAATAATGCGAAGCTCTCTTTTGTCGCAAAGATTTGTTGCTAATAAAGTGAACGGAAACTAATCTTGTATTAATGACTGTCAAAAACAAGCTATTCTTTTAAAAGTGAGCAAAACTACCAGTTTACACCCGAAAAAAGTGTACGATAAAGATCTATACCGTGCCTTAAAGTTTGAGGTGGAAAGCAAACAGTTTGAGGATGCTATAACGAAGTAAACGAGGCGTTGAAAAACAATTTACCGAAAGTGAGAAGAGCGGTTTCGTTCAACCTGCTGAACACCTAAGACAATGAGTAAAGAAAATTATGTTATGTTAAAATGATTCGACATCCTTTCTTTCTATACTGAATTTGCATTTCTCGCTCAGGTAACAAAGACCCATGAAATTGTCTAAATACCTGGCGCGATTGGTTCGTTGTGTGTGTTAATTATTTAAGCTGTTAATTGCACTTTATTCGGCTTATCAACCTCTTCACGTCACAAAGGCAAGCTTCGCTGAACTGCCATGAAATATTAATGTCCTAGAGCATTTGAACCGTCGCTTCTTAGTGATAAAACGCTATTTTGGGTATACAGATGTTTGTTGGCCTAGCTACAAGCAATTGCGAATCGCGTTTTCCTATCAATCATCCTCTGTCGCAAGCGAAGGTATAGAAGATGAGGATTTTTGTGCTGTTCGACGGAATCAGACATTTACTAGACGTTGAAGTTGGGCAAACGGTGAGCGAGATAAAAGGCACTCTTCGAAAGAAACTCGATTTAGATACGGTGCAAAGCGAAGATAGCGAGAACGACATGCTTATGGCGATTAATTACGCGGGATCCAATTTAGAAGACGATTGGGTTTTCACGGATATTAGTATTCCACCGGGTGCAACACTGAGATGCGAACTGCTAGAAAATGTCAAAACTTATCTTAGTGTCACCTGTTCGCATTTCAACGAAACACTTAAGTTTACAGAATGGTTTGACGTTTGGGAGACAAAAGTGGGACATTTTAAAACAATGATTACAGAGAAGACAGGGTTACACGTCAGCGTGTTTCGCCTCGTTTCTTCAGAGGGAAAAGAGATGTACGATTGCCACCCATTGAAGAAATATTCTGTCGATTACGGTGACACGATTCGTTTGGAGACATGGAATGGCTGGGGTGCGTTCCTAAAATCTGCTACGTCAGGGCAGTTAACTCCGACCATAAAACACATGGTTAGTATTCATGATGATCCATTGGTATTTAAGTACCAGCTTCGGGTAGCGCTGTTCATCGCGGCTCATTTCAATTACACGCAACTCGCCACTCAACTGATCAAGAGCGGGGCGAGATGCGATGAACCTGTCGGAGAGCACCCAGTGCGAGAGTGGTGCAACAAGGAAGTGCATCCTGATCATATAAAGACTCCAGTTCACGAGGCCGCACAACACGGCAGCCTTAATTGTCTACAGAAATTTATCCATCACAATTACGCCTGCATCCTTGCCAAGGACGCACACGGTCTGACACCGTGTAATATGGCACGAAGGTACAAGCAAACTGAGTGTTTTAAGCTGCTTATTGCTGAGCAGTTCCGCTCTCGAAGTACATGCGGTTTGACGTTGGGAATATACTGGCGCGTGCGAAAATGGTGTGAACGCGCTCGGGATAGGGCTATTGTCTTTCATAAGCATTCCCCTAATCCCCTTCTGTTGGCAATGGAAAATAGAATGTACCGAAGTGCCGTGGTTGGGCAAAAGGTTCAAGTTGACGGCTTCGGGGAAAATATGCAAAGTGGCACCTCAAAGATACAGCTCTCTTTGGCACTCAAGAGTGTGAAAAATAAGCCAACGGCAGGTGGACAAAGTAATACAAGTTTGAGATCAATACTCAGTGACAAAAATGGTAATTCCTCAGGAAGTAGCGAAATTTTGAGTCTTCGTGAAAACGGCGAAAAAGACGACAGAGCCGATTCAGGAAACTGTTCAAGTGGATCGAGCGAAGAATCGAACAGCGACCGAGCGACTTGTGTGGATTGCTTGCTACCGTCTGTTTCGAAACAGCGTAGCCATAGCGATATTTCGAAACTGGAAACATCCATAAAACACAAGTTGCAAATTAAGAATGCGAATCAAGAAAGACGCACAGCGAATCAACGTAAAGCGTACAGATGGAAAGAGAGAGAAGACAACGAAATCTTATGCTTCTGTCAGTCGTCGAAACATCACAAGGATAAACAAACCGGCAGTGAAACAAAAAACGATCAGCGTGAGAGCATGCCACTGATTTCGACAAACACAAGCCTGGTCGGAGTAAACAAAAGCGATAAAAATATTGATATAGAAGTTATCGATGAATTGGGAAACCGAAGTGCTCATGACTTTTTCGTCACGCAAGGGGTTGCGGTGAGCTCGCAAAAACGGCCTATTGAGGCAGAAAATACTCTAAAAGAAGAAACAAACAAATCAGTTGATCGAATACCGCCTATTAAACTGCCTGGTGGTAATTCAAGTTTAAATCATACGAGAACAGAGGACATCCCCTCGACAACAAAATCGGCGAAGAGTTCTAAAAGCGACGGCGTGCTTATCAAGCAACGCCGTAGAACTCGGTCTCTTAATTCGACGCCTAAACGCCTTCACAGCGCAAACCAACGTCGTCGAGCAACCTCTAGCGAGGATTTGAGCCTGCAGTTGACTCGCATGTACAGCAAAGTCACCGGACAAGATATGCACGAAGCGGCGAAGGAAAGCATGGGTGTTGCAATGACTTTTAGGAAGAAACGGTGGTTGCAGCAAGTTCACATGGCAATCGAGCTTAACAATAACAATTTTAACAGACAGCTTCACGGGTACAAAGGAAAGAACGGAGCGGGCCATGTTTCTTAACATCGTGGCCGGGATAAAAAAAAAAGTTTCATTTCGAACAGATTATACTCACAAGAAAATATATAAACAAAATTTTGTGGGAAACAAACAGAAATAACTCAAAAAAAATTTAGCATAGTTAGCGGATTTGAGAATTACGTTTAATGAAAACGCTGAAGGGAATATTTGAAATTCCCGGCTTATTGTGTATTGACAACACAAAAAATATTAATGATTGCATTCATTGCTAAAAGACAGGCAGCAAACTTAAATTTTTGCCATATGCTTGTTGAGTGTACGTGTTTTAAAATCATTCTGTTCTTATACAAAAATACTTACTTTAGCCATTTGACAAATTTTCGACAAATACAAGGAAAGAAGGTTCCAGGAATATGTATCTGAGAAAAGTAAATGAATGTTATTACCAAACAATCTCTCGCCAAAACATTCACCATAAATGAAAATCAATTTGTCTGATATTTACATGAATTTGAATTGCTATCAGACAGTGTTTACCTTTCAAGCGGGTAGTGAGCTAAAAGCAACTTTGTTTTTTTCATACATCTCTAAAACTTATTCCTAAAAGGTTTCGAAAGGTTTTTAATACAACTTGGCGAGTGTTGGCGCGCTACGAAGCCTTTCTATCTACAAACGAGTTAATTAGTAACGGCCTACCAAGGAGCAAATAATGTCTCCAAATGAGTGACTGTTGCAGATAAATGGGTGATTGCTTTGTGTAGCTCTCAAGAATAGCGGTCTCACAGAGTAAATGACGATTCTTTTGTCGTCTCCTTTGAGTGCTTAAAAATAGCCTCATTTTCTTAAAACGCCGCAAGGAAGGCTTAAATATAGTGCATTTACAAAATGCCTCCAGCCATTGTTCGACTCAACACATACTCGTTTTAATAAGGGTCTTTTGCCCTCAGAATTTGAACAAAACTATTTTTATCTTACATAATAGTGTCATATGCAGATAAAGGACAATAAATTACCACTTTACCTATTTACAGCGGAATATTTGCGTCGAATCTTCTTAATAAATTTGCCTGTCCCGCCAAAGCAGCCATGTTTACATTCACTATCGTATCCAGTGCTTGGCGTCATGTAACATCACGTGGCCGCTTATCAAGAAGAATTTACTCGTGGGAGGGGTGAGGTTCTTTTATTCTTTTTGTTGCCCTTTTGCCTCCCTTGATGTGTTCTAAATAGAAATTATAACCTAGTACTGAATATTTCTATTTTTTATTAACCTGCGTAGCAAGTGGGCTTTATTTCTCATCATGGTAGCCCTTGAAAATCTAGAAGCTACATAGGCTTTTTCTATTTGTATAATGGATAAGAGCGGCGCTAATACTTGCTCTTGCAGGGGTACCCTTAGTTGGACATTTTTTTTTTTTGCTGGTTTTCTTCCAACAATTTGAGTCAATACTGTCCGTACTAACATCTTTTTGTCACTATTTTTTTGGAAAACTTGGAGGTAACTCGGTTCTAAATGATCAACAAATAGCTTTATATGTAATGAATAAAAGGTATCCACTCAGGCTAAAAACGCATACTGATCTAATGTAACGAACACTGCACGCTCTCGACCCACTGTAGACGGGTGGGGCTAGAATCAAAGGGAGGTGGTAATAGTTAGAGGATAAAAACTTCTCGGAAACACTTCAGGTGCGATACGATGTCTCTCCTCGGAATGACACGCAAAAGGTTGAACAAGCTCACAGGCTAAGAACATCTATATTAATCCCTCACATTGCAGAAAGGCTAAATTGAGCGCGAAAAGTTAAATTGATTGACAAGAGAGTTGCAAAAGCACAACACAACAAACAGAAATAGAACTCGCCCCCAATTAGGCTAACCTTTGGAACATTCGGTGGTGCTGATTCATTCCAAATCGGTACCAAATACAAATCAACTATGGTGAGCCTCACCCCCGTCCCCTTCCCAGAATCCATTTTTAACATTACGCACGTGACTGGACACTCCATCTACAACAACAATCAAAGTAAAAGGTGGGGCACTAACCTCTATGAGAATATCATTCCAAGAGAAACGCTTGAATGATTGAAAAAAAAAATTGAGAAATTATATTCTTTATTTCATTCGATTCAATTTCCAAATTGTTTTGGCACAGCAATCAATTAAAAAAAAAATTCTAAACCTTATAGGTTTTTGTCATTGTAGTAAGTATGTATAATTCCAAGCTATCTTCCTTCGTTTTCCACTCGTGATTGGCAATTATAAATATAACGAGAAGTGTTGTCATAATTAAAAAATAATTCACAGACTTTCTTGAATATCGCGTGTGCATATTTTTCGCGCGTGTACTGCAACTCGCCTATGATAAAAAGTAATTTGAAACACTTTTTAACTCTTACTAAAATAAATTACACGGTTATTTTAATGATAAAATAAATTATTTCACAGAGACTAGAGGAGAGTCACTTTGCACGTATCATTCCAAGTTCACGAAAGAATAATTTAATTTTTCGGAAGAAACGTCAAAGATTGTTAGTTCAAAAGTCACAGCGGAAAAGAAGAAAATATGATTTTTTCTGGAACATGACGCTCTGCTCATTCAGATCAAATAAAGCAGCTCTCCCTCCGGAGTTTCAGAAGTTCTTCATCTGCACTAGACATTGAAACAATGTCATCATCAAATGTCAACGCAACGACTTTTCCCGCCAAAGTTCCAATTTTCTCTTCGTAAGATCCATTTTCCGAAGCGCCGAGAACCTCCCCTGAGATGACACCTGAAGGACTGTCTGCGTCATCATTCGGAGCAACATCCGCCATTATGGTTGCTACTTTTTCTCCGGTTGCACAAGACAACACATCTATTGAAGCGGTAGCAACATGTCCTTGCAACGCCGCCTCTCCAGACACAGCCAAAAGATCTCCTCGAAGGGTGGCTAGATGGACACTTGATTCATTATCAGTAGGTGTAGAAGTGACATCTCCCTTGATGATCCCGATCTTTTCCCCTGGTTTGGGTGTGGTCGCGTCCCCATCTATTCTTGGCACACGGTATACAGATCCGGTAAGCGTTACATTTTGTTCCCCCTGTGGATCATCTATGGAGCCTACAAGAACACTCGCGCTTAAGGTGCATATACGCCCAAAAACCGTCCTGTTACCCTTCAACGAAGCCTCGTCGGTTGATTCGGCAAGAGGGGCTGCACTTTGTTTATTTTCAAGTGCTGAATCCTCTTTGGAAGGATCTGTTTGTTCCGTAGCTTCGACTGGGGCGGACGTGGAGTCGTGCTTAAAGTTATCACCAGAACTGTCTTCTCCACCGGGAGATAAAAGAACCTCTTTAGTGACTTCACTCTTATCAGAGTGTTTAGTATTTTCTGTCGTAGCAGGTAATACGGAATCTAGCTCCTGAATTAAAGCATTCACCTCACTATCCAAAGGTAACGTGGAGTGGCGACTTGAAGCTGTACTAGACCGTTTGGTTTGATTAACAGGGGGTGCATTTTTAATCTCAACAGGTAAACTAGCATCACTGGCTACTCTTTGTTGGGTTAAATCAGTTTCCGCAGCCTCTTCATCCCCGTCAGGGGAAGTTCCACTGACACCCTGAGTCTCATCTTGTGAGGGATCCTCTTCATTCTTGCCAGGTATGTTGACTTCACCGGCGACTTTCTGTTGCACTGCACTAGTCTCAGCCGCATGTGTATCAGCAGTGGTACTTTCCGTACTTATCTCATTTGGCACAGGAACCACATCTTTGTCACCAAGAGCTGTACTTTGGGTCTCGGTAGCTTCCTCCTCATTCAAAGTAGCTTTGCTTTGAGACGCACAACCATCCGAAGCAGGCGATCCTTCCTTCTGTGGCTCTTCCTTATCATTCGTAACCTGAGTCACATTGTCTGTAGCATCTGTTGCAGAAAGATTTTCAACCCTGGAATTTCCTTCAGAAGGAGGTGGTTTATTATTACTGGGACCATCAGTGTCAACCTTTTCATTAGCTTCCTCACTACTTGTGCTCTCTGAGTCTATATTGTTGTTCGCACTTCCCTTTGGAGAATCACCACGAGGAACATGACCATTGGCAGAGGAAGGCGGAGACACAGATTTACCTGTCTGCTTACTGGATGACTCTCCTCCTACAACCAAAGTGTAAAGGTGTTTTCAAATATTTCAAATCATGGATGGTAATTTCTTATTTATTATTATTTTTTAAATTATTGAACTCCCGTTTCAAATTTACAGCGTCACTACTCAGAGGTGACGTATCATTCAAGTGAATCGATGGTGTGAAGTCGGTAGCATACGTGTAGCCGTACCCATTCCCTCCCACCCAAGGTGAAACGGAAACGAGGGACGTTCCCTCCCTTCCGTTTCACCTTAGCAGGAGGAGGAGGGTACGGCTACACGTAAGCTATAAAGTAGGATGCATCTAGGAGATCTAAAGAGGTGCATCTCTGCTGATCGTCATGCGAGTTTGGCGAGTATGCATGCAGTTTCGAGTCCCTCGCGCACACTACACTCCTACTCTGTATCAGTCAATAACTCTAATTAATGACTCCACCTTTTCAGAAGCAGTCAAGAGAACTGTAGCCCATCAAAGGCTATAAGTCAGAAAAGAGGGGCGAAATAGAAGCGGGCGGTCAATGCAGTTCTCAATTTTTTTTAACGCAGCCACCTTTTCGCTTGTGTCCTCAGACCGAGTGCCTGGTATAAGATTGGAAAACTACGTAATGGATGTATGACGGACGCGTATTGAACGCGTGTCCGTCTAGTATGAGGTCTCTGACTAGAGAGCTAGCCTTAACCCTTTAACTCCCATGATCTGATTGTTAATTCTCCCCTCTAGCTGCTACACATTTACTTTTATATTAGTCAAGAGAACTTGGTTTGAAATCAAGAACAAATTCTTCGTGATAAGCTTTAGTATTCTCATTTCTTGTTTGCTGGATGGTGTAAGAATATTAAAGGGAGAAGTTATCTCTCAATCACTTATGGGAGTTAAAGAGTTGATTTTTTTTCTTACCGTTTCCACCATTCTCTGTTATTCTCTGTGCATGTCCATTGCTTTCTTTTACTGAAGAGCGGGAGGATGAACTCCGTTTAGAAGTCGACTGGATAGCTGTAAGAATAATTTTCCAACATTTGTTTTAAAAGAGGATAACTAAGTCTCTTAACTTTTCAAGACTGATGAAAAAGAGATTTCTCCATAAAAATTTAATGATATCATGACTCCTGTCGGTAAGGTATACGTTAAGTTACTGTTAGTAGAAATCTGAAAACAACTGCTTTTATTTTGACTTACCATTTTCATCCTCTTCTTTGATTCTCTTCAATTTTGGAGCTGACTGCGGAGAAACTGCCAAAAGTAAAGGACAAAGTAGTAAAAAAAAAATGAAAAGTTTGAATTCAAACTCAACCTAAGTGGCCCATTCAGCCAGAACTTATCCCTGTTTCTGTAGCATGAAGTGATTATGTTTGCTACTTTCCCTGACTGGGATACGAGCAAGGTTACCACTACCCCCACCCCACCCCCCCCCCCCCCCCCAGCATATGAGCCAACTTCCCCTAAGCAGACTTAAAGACTTCCCCCTACAATTTTTCAGTAGCCATTAACACTCCTGGGTGGAGACTGAGTGCCACTGAGGAAATAAAGTGTCTATCCCATGAACACATGATAGCATAATGACCCAGTCATCACTTACTTAACTCAAGCAGGCAAAGAAAACATGAGGGCTGGGTTCAAACCCTGGCCAAGGCCATTAACCTCTTGCAACCTAACATGGGTCCCCATATTACCTAAACTGTTCTCTATACAATTCCTATGGTGCTTATTAGAGGAGAAGTTTATGAACAGTCAAGAACTTCTTTACTTGGAAAGCATTCCTCTATTCTTGTACCCTTAATGATTGATTCAGCAGTAGTCTGTATGGGATGTATGGGTATATCAGATCTCCTCAATACTGTGAGGACACTTAATTAAAGATGTCAATCACTCTTAGAGGTTAGAGGGTATAGGTTTCTATTCTTGGGCAAGACTGCCAAACCATAATGTGCCTCTCTCCAGAAAGAGAAGCACAAGTTGGTGTTGGCAAACTGTTGGGGAGATATGAAGAGGCATTGGGAGTTAAAAACAAAGCTGCAAAGGGCTAACTGTTCATCTAGGAAAGGAGGAACTTTTTCCCAATGCTCTTCAAGCTGCAGAAATCTTATTCATGTTATATCAAAAAGGCAAAATCCCTTTTATATATAAAAAAGAATACAAAGTTGAGCTATTCTTTTCTGTTACTGAAGACTGAACTGAATCTATTGACAACCAGAGGGTGGAACTTGCTTAAAAAGGAGAACTATCAAGGTATCTTGGAACTAAGTCTGCAGCTGACTAAACACTTTAAATAATGTCAGTGGTTTATTTATAATCATGAACCCAAATAATATCACCTAATTAATAATAAATAAATATATGAATAAATGAACACAAAATTCAGTTGTTTTCTCATAAACCATCCATTATCGTTTAAAATTTACTTTGCTGATCTCAAGTAGTTTAAAATTACAAGTTGGCCCTTCAGAATGTTGACTAAAAATTAACAATATGGCAATTTGTAAACAATATGCACTTTGCTTGTAAAAACACAACTCGAAGATAGCATGTTATCAATCACATGTAAAAAGATCACTGATGTCATAATTACATATAATTAATGCACCTTTCCTTGCAATTCATTGTATTTACTTAGTATCTCATTGATGTTTATGTACAAACTCTAATAAATAAGATATTACACGGCTATTTGGAAATACAAAATTTTTCTTCTCATGTAGAAAAACATTTCAACACTCAAAGAGAAATTTTGTATCCCCGCACAGCCATTGTAATATCCTTTACCTATCATAACTAATTTTCCAAGGTCCTCATTAGCAGGTTACCATTTTTTTAGAAAAAATGCAAGATCTTCCATGGTAAGTAGATTTGCACCTCTAAACACATAAAGTGAGAGGCTCACACCTAGTAAGTAGTTGTGTGTTTCAGAAATAGGAGAGTTTGCCTACCTGCGCTTGTAGCTTTTGAGGAGCCACAACCCATAAGTGAGGTGAACCCTGTTCAGGACTTTGTGTTTCTCAGGCTGCGCTAAAGTAAGAAAAAACAGTGTCATTGAATTTCAAGCAGCCTGTTTCCTTGATGTACCAGTAAGTGAAATATTACGAATCACTTCTAGTAATTTACATATTAACCAGATTTCATTTGGTGTAATAGTACAATACAGTATGGCCTGATAGACCAAACTCTTCCACCAGAATGTAAGTCATGCAAGCATGACAACATTTCCCTCGAGGTACATTTTTCAGTCATTTACTATCAACTAATTCAAATTCACCAGTATTCTACACTTTTCTCAGTTTCTCCTTCTCAAAGCTTTACTTTTGAAGGGTGCCACATCAGTGCATACACTATTGAAGAATTCACCTGTGCATGAATTTTAGAAATATGTCATATGTCTTCTAAAATATTATTGTTACATGTCAATTATTTTTGATGAACGCAAAGTGTGCAACAGAGATAAGGTTTTCTTGGGCATGCATGTTAAGTGAAGTTTGCTAAGGCTCTAAGTTTAATTTGCATTATTGTAGTGTAATTGGGAATCTGAGGATTAACTAGGAAGTCTTTACATGGGATTTTACTGTGTGTGCAAAAATTCAGTTTCCAATAATTCACTCTCACACATATTATATGAGACCTTATTAGTGTTCCAAATATCCAAAGGCCTATTCGCTTTAACATATTGAACTTTTAATGAAATCTAGGTGTGAAAGGATTACAAGCCATCTTTTTTCACTTGGTTTTTCTTAACCTTTTTACTCCCAAGATCTGATTCTCAATTCTCCCCTCGAGCTACTACACATTTCTCTGTAAATTAATCATAAGAATTTGGTGTTAGATCAAGATAACAACTTATTCTCATTTCCTGTATACTAGATAATGTAATGATATTTTACATGTAGGGAGAAGTTTCATGTTGATCACTTCTGGGAGTTAAAGGGTTAATTCTTCCATTCTAAGAGTGAGAATGAAGAGGAGAGATCCTTGTAAGGAGGTTGAGCTCTCAGATTCCAGGCATTAGTCAAGAGATTAAGGCTGTTGTAAGGACAAATCCTGTTTTGCTCACTGATGGAGTTTAATTTCCTCACTGATACAATTACCTATTTATGTTAGCTATAGTTCTGATTCCTAATAACTGGTGCTTAATCCAAATCTATCCTGTCTTCACAATTTTCAGCAACTTATTACCTGTCTCTTATACTAACCACTCCTAGCAGTGAAAGGATTAATAAACTTTTGCTCAAAAAGTATTCTTTTAAGTTTAATTTGTGCTACAATTCATTTGTGTTAATTACTCTAACCCAAACACATCCAACTACACAAACAAGGTACTCAAATTAAAACTAAATTTATGGTCTTCACTTCACCCCCTGTTCAACAGTAGTTTACATTTATTTTTACCTCAAAACTTTGGGTTCATGTGACAGTTTAACCAAAAGATAAAGAAGACTATTAACTACACTTTCAAGTGACTCAAATATTTCCTAACAAGGCTATCAAACTTATTTGCTAGTTTAAGGCACATACTCTGCTAGATCTGCCATTTTATTTAATTAATATCAACAACAATAAAAAAAACAATCATTGATGGAATTGTATTTAGCAAACAACAAAAATCTCAGAAAAATTTTAAAGCCAGGTTGCAAATTTTACACTTTCTGTAATTGGTCACTTCACCTTCTCAAAAGTAGTTCACATTAATTTTTGCATCAAAACTTTGGGTTCATGTGACAGTTAATCAAAAGATAAAGAAGGCCATTGAATACACTTTCATATAACTTAAATATTTCCTAACAAGGCTACCAAACTTCTCGGCTGGTTTAAGGCACATACTCCACTAGAGCTACCATTTTATATAATATCAATGGAAAAAAAAAAATAGCAGTCACTGATGGAATTGTATATAGCAAACAACAACAATCTTACAAAAAATTTTAAAGCCAGGTTGCAAATTTTTTAGATTCTGTGGAGATGAATACTCATGTGTACCTTTATTATAAGCCAATCATATTCTGAAATTGGATATGATCACCTTCCAATCCAACAACACTAAATGGAGTCCAAAGAATGCACAGACGGAGTATAATGCATAATTGCACAGTTATTGGACAGTTGGTGGCCAACCTGTTTAACAGGTTTTGCTCTTGCTTGCAATGGTTTTTTACTATGCATTTTGCATCATCTCCCACTTTATAAGAAAAGAATAAAAAACAGTGGTTGGATAATAAATAACTTGTTGATGATTTGGTGTGTAGTTTCGCTCATAACATCTACAGTAGATACCATTTAGCACAAAAATATACTCAGATATTTGTCTGCCCTTACCAACTGAGAACTTAAACAAGGAATCCAACTAGGCACCCCAGATCATCTCTCCCCAACATATTGTTGGCAACTCTGTTCATGGGATCATGAAAACCAATTTAATCCCCAAAGAAAAATTGGAAGTTATGAGAACAATTCTCCATGCTCAAAAATTTTACTGATAAATGGCATATGCCAGAAATGTTTGTATAAATTACTGGATCACTTTGTTTGCGTTTGTTTTTCACATTTTGTCCTTTCAGGAAAATTAGTTGATTGCCTTCGGTATATTCTT